ATTTTCAAGTTTATTAGCATTTTGATAATACCGATCTTGGGCATGTTTCATTAATGTGCCACCTGGTCAATAAAGCCATTTCCTTACTGCATGCTGGATTATTTTAGCCAAATTTATTTGTTTTTTCCATAAACGATATGCTTGCTAGATAATAATTGCCGGTCGATTTTTTATATACAAAGTTTTAAAATATGCTACTTGGGTTTTAAATTCTCTAAATTCAAAGTTATTGGCTATATATTCTCTTTTGATTAAATTATTTTTAATACAGAATACAAAGTTTCTCCAATAGTTCTTACCTTTTATTTCATGTCCTGGTATAAATAAACGTCTACGTATATATTTGAGCGGATAATACTTTGCAAATCATAGCCAAGCTTTTGGTGTTTTTAAATTACTAATATAGTTTAAGCCATATTCAGATAACATGTATCGGGTATAACTATTTTTTTCCCATTCCTCAAAAATATCTTAAATATTAAACATGTTTATATTTCAAACACATGGATTTTATTAACTAAGACTTTTATTCTTTTAGAATTTCACCAGTGTTATTTTTTCCCAAAAGCCTGGCTTCGAGAATTTGACCCATCAAACTAGTTTGATAGTGAAATCACAAAACCATTGTCTATTATTAGCATCGAATTACACATATTCAAGCTTACACTATTTTCTCGCATCCACAATGAGTCCAAGAGTATTTCAGGAAATTGATCAGGCCAACCTGATTCAATAACTATGAATTCAGTGGGTATGATTTTATACTTCTCATCATCATTTAAAATAATATGTAGATTGACTTTTCCTAATACAAAATAAGACTCACCTAGAAACCCGTTTACTCTAGGAATACTATCGTCTTTTGCATATGCTATTTTTACATTTTTTCTACTAATGTAATTTGCATTAGCGCCCATGTTAACCCCAAATCAAATATCTGTAAAAATTATTCTTTTAGACCATTCAAGATTCACATCTCTTTCCCATATATGATTTACACTATAAGAATTTTTTAGATCCTGGTTTGAAAGTTCCTTTATAATAAATAGTATTAATTCTAGCAGAAGTTGGTCTAGTAAATTAACTCTATTCATTTTTTATATAGTTAGAAGATATTTTAATCAGAAAAAATTCTTTAGAACAACATAATGCTGATGATCTTTGCTCTGAACTAGCA